TTTCTTCCCTTTTCTCCAGGAGATACTCTTCCCTAACATCATTATACTTTGAGTTTTTAGGCATTCTCTATTTACTTGCCTACCGTTAAGAGTCAAAAATTTAAATCTAGAGGAGCACCACTTTCTTTTTCTTCTCATATCATCTCCTGCCATTTCTGACCATTTAACTATTCAGACATGAAATAAGAGTATCATTAGAGATCAGGAATTTCCAGTGTGGGAGTTTGTATACCTGATATAACGATTTTTTACTGTTACATCTTTATAAAATAAAGAAACACCTGCAGAGTAAAAGAACTTAAAAAAAATCTATTCTCCCAACCTCAGAGAACCCAAGCATATTACTCATTTAACACTTCTAATTACTTCTTCTCTATTCTCCTCTCCAATTTGCTCACTGCACGCTGGTTCTTTTATTCTTTCTTTATTTTAATTCTCTTCCAGCAGCCTCTGTTTCCACCTTTCTTCTGTTTCTACTGATTTTTCAATGTATTTTTCAATGCTGTTGTTCTTTTGATACCACTTCTAAACTTCTGTTTTTATTTCTGTTGTCTCCTTCTTCTTTCGTATTCCAAATATGACTTCCAAAGATTTTGTCAAGATGAGCTGTTCAGAATGAAGACAGCGATTGATGATGAGGGGCTTAAAGAACTGGGAAGAAGGGAGCTGCCAAGATTTGCTTCACGGAATAGAAGCATGTTGGATAAGATCTGGGGGGTGTAAGTAGCAAGAAAGAGAGAGCCATGACCAACGTGGAAAACCTATTAAAATAATGATTTGAGTAGTGTTCACTGAAGAAAATAAAGTGTACCAGCCTGCGAGGTCAGTAGCTAATAGCCGATGGGTTTGCTACTAAGAAAATTAGAACTTTAGCTAATGAGAATGGTAGCCATCTACTGAAAAGGAAGCTGAGGCCTTTATATTAACTCCCTTCCCTGCATCGGTTTGACAGAACAGTCCGAACGTTATTTCCTATTTAGTTAGTAGCAAAAGACTTGAAACGAAGGCAAAAAAACAAAACAAACAAACAAAAAAAAAAACGATGGAAAAAAGTTGGAGGCAAATTCTTGTTCAGCTCCCTCAAGAGGCCATCTAGAAGACGGTATTTTTGCCCCTCCAGCCAAAACATACATCAGCATGTTATGGTCAGGAAAAGAGGAAGGACGGTTTAAAAAAAAAAAAAAGAAAAAAGAAAGAAAGAAAAAAAAAAGGAGCTGTCCCAGATAAATGCAGCCAAGATGACTCAGACAAGACTCCTGGGGGATTTTTGGTGTGGGGACTTCAAATTAATAAATCCTGTAGGAGCTTTGTGGAATCAGCAGGATTAGGCAACCTCTTTCAAGAAGACTGATTTCATGGTTCCAGGGGGTGAGGGGTCGCTATTTATGCCCATCTCTTGTTTTCCGCAGAAGTAAGACCATCTCTGTTTAACTCGTAGTCACTTGGAGAATAATTAGAGGCCTTCTGGACATACTTCGGTCCTAGATACACACGTAGGGTCGCTTTTCTGACCCTAAATCCAACTCCTGACCCGACTGTGGTTCTTTCTGAATTGATCAGAAAGCGTGGTGGGGATTCAGGTCTCTGCTTGCAGTGAAGCAGAAGGAATTCAGGCTAGATGTGAGAAGACGCACAGCAGGCTGCGATGGTTAGGGCATTTCAGGATTCAGACGAGGGGGCGGGCGGGACAGGAACTTGTCTCCCGGCGCCCTGATGCCCAGGTGTCGTGGGAGAGATCCCGGGGGGAAGCGCCGTGGGAACTGCAGCTGACAGCCCTAGGCAAGGCACCCGGGAACCCCCTCGGCGGGCGGGGAGCGGGAGCGTGTGTGCGCGAGAGCGGCGGGCAGCAGCGGGAGGAGGCGCAGGCGCGCTGCTCGCCGGTCTGCAGCCCGGCGCCGAGCGCCGCGTCTCGGGGAGTTGATGGCAGCACCACAGTGCGGCCGCCCGGCGGAGCGCGGTGCACTGCCACCCGCGGTTGCCCAGGGAGCGTCCAAGATGTGGAGGGATCCGGGCGGCAGCGGCCGCAGCGGCGCCGGGGATGAGGGCGCGCAGCAGCCTCCCCTCGTCCGCCTGTGCTGACCTGCCTCGTTTGGCCCCAAAGAATGTCAGCCAAGTCCAAGGGGACCCCCTCCTCGTCCTCTCCTGCCGAGGGACCGCCGGCAGCCTCCAAAACCAAGGTGAAGGAGCAGATCAAGATCATCGTGGAGGATCTGGAATTAGTCCTGGGCGACCTGAAGGACGTGGCCAAGGAACTTAAGGAGGTGAGAGGCGCGGGGGTGGGGGAGGAGCTGGTGGCCCTTCGCCCCCTTGGGGTTCTCGGTCGGGCTTGCGCTGGGGACCGCCAGATTTCTGAACTCCTAGGAAACTAGAGTAAGACGCCTGCAGACGGACTTTTCATTGCTCCGGCGACTCCTGAGAAGAGTTGTTGCACTTTTTTTTTTTTTTTAATCAGGAAGAAATCAACTAGTGTTTTAATCGATGGACCTGGGATGGTGGGAGGGGTGAGCGCGCGCGTGTCTCCGTATCTGTGTGTGTGTGTGTGTGTGTGTGTGTGTGTGTGTGTGATGTCGGGGGAGGGGGGTCGTGGGGGTGTGTCAACAGAGAAAGAAAAGAGCAGCCCGGCCGGAGCGTGCAAGACGCTCCTCTCCAGTCCTGCTGCTCCCCCAGAGTCCTTTGGCAAGCCGATCATTGCCTGGCAGCCTCCCCAAGCTGGGGCTGATGGAGGGCAAGGTTCCGGGCCCTGGGCCAAGCCGGGGAGGGCAGCCTTGGGGGGAAGCTCGGCTCCGTCTCTCCTCCGCGCCTTCGGAGCCCCGCTGGACGGAAGGCACCCGGGCTGCTGGCAGGAGAGCCCAGACTTGGGGATGTCAAGGGGGTCTGGGACTTTCTCACTTTAGCAGTTCCTGAGGCATCCCCTGCTCTCCTTCGAACGTCGCTCACAGTAACTCCTCCACACCCTTCCTTCCTCCTAGCGCGTAGCCACTTGGCATTGAACCTGGGAAGCAGGGTGCGTTGGTGTGTGTGTGTGTGTGTGTGTGTGTGTGTGTGTGTGTGTGTGTGTGTGTGTGTGTTTTGTNCTGAGATGGGAATGCATGAGGTGGTTGGTGACTCCTGGCATGGGTAAACTACCAAATCTAAGACTTGAGTGAAACTAGCTTTGGGAAGCAAAAATAATTCAACACTGTCAATCTATAAGTGTAAAAAAGAAGTAAGGCATATAATCCAGTAAAGGCTCTATGATGGCTATCTATTGTTTTTTATTTTCCCAGGAGCACATCTCTTTTGTAGGAGAAATAGGCCACAAGTACAGGCAACTTGCTCCAAATTGGGTCCATCATTAGACTTCCTCACCATCAGTTACTGACCCATGCTAATTTATATGGTGTCTGTCTTTGTGTGAATTTGAAAATAATTTTGCTTCCTGAAAACACTTTACTTCCATATATCAGAAAATTAACATAATATGTGGATTTTGGTAGAATAACTCTTTTTACTGCCACCTGCTAGAAAATCATAGTAATAAATACAGTTGTTCTTTGAACAACTAGGGGATTAGGGGCACTGAACCCCCTCACAGTAAAAAATCTGGGGTGTATAACTTTTGACTCACAGTCAGCCCTTTGCATACTAGGAAACAGCCAGCTGCAAATAGAAAACAGTATTTTCTATCTGCAGTTGAGAACCTGCAGTTGGGAATCTGAGGTTGGCAATACAACAATACTGTTTACAATCTGCGGTTGGTTGAATTCACAGATATGAAACCCGAAGGGCTGGCTGTATTTATTGAAAAAATCTGAGCATAAGTGGACCCATATATTACGAAGCTGTGTTGTTCAAGGGTCAACTGTATACAAATGTATGACTTCTTTATGGGAACGGCACAACTGTAGTTGCAGCTTTCCACCCGACCCAAGCACAGTGATTGGCTGAGGTGTGTGTGTCCGTGACCGAAGCTACGTCTATCAAAGTCATCTCCTGGGAGCTTGCTGTGATGATTGCTTTCTTTTCTAGTTGAAAACTTGTGAAGACATGAACCAAAAACCAAGGTTCAACTTTATGGAGAAACTGGCCTAAGAGAAGGAAGCCAATTTACAAAAGAGGGGTGGGATACAGGGACAGTAGGAAATAGTTTCAATGGTCCTAGATTTCCTGGCTTGAATCCTACCTGAAGATATTTTTATCCTAGTCTTTCTATGGTCCAACTATGAAACAATTTCCTTTGTTAATTTAAGCAAAAAAACAGTTTCTGTCATATAAATAAAAAGTAAAAAAAAAAAGTCAAGTATATCTTGACTTTGGAGGTCAACTAAAATAAATTGACTACAGTTGGAAAAGAGGGCAACAAGAAATACTATGAGGTAATTTCACTTTATATTAGAGTCATGTGTGGAATTATCTAATTGCTTCTGCTGAGACTATGTCTTGCTCTACTTAGTGACACATCTACTCCATAGAGTAAGTTCTTGCCTGGAGTAGCCATTTAAAAAGATATTTGTTGAGGGGCCCATATTCTTATTGAAGCCCTACATGTCCATATGTAATAAATTTGGTTATTTTTTTCCTGTTAAAAGATGCTGATTGAATTAAATTGATTTCAAAACACACAGAAATAGGCAACACTTCATTCATTCATTTCTTTGTTAAGTATTTACTGAGAAGCTACTTTCCAATAGACACAGTTCTAATTATTCAGGATACTACAATGAATATTTGTATTTAAGCTTCCAGATCAATTTTTTTTAACCAATATACATCCATAGTAGACAGCCATCAGGTCAGAAGCAGTTGACACATAAATAGGAGGCATTCTCCAGACAAATGGCGACCACTCAAATGTATGAATCAATGTGGGGTTCTTTCTCCCAACTTGTATTCCCTAGATGTGGAGCGTTGGGTGTATCATTGAATCTCCTAAGGCCTTAGTTTCTCATCTATAATATAAAGCAATGTAACTATGTGATACTCTAGCTAAAAAAACCCCAACCCAAAGTTTTTATTTTAATCTCTCAAACTAATGTTTTTCAGAGTGTGGTCACTTTCCAGCCACTTAGAAACTGGTTAAAATGCAAATTTCAGACCCCATCTCAAATGTACTAGATTAGACACCCTGAGAATGGGGTCCAGCAATCTGTGTTTTAACAACTTCTAATGCATGCGAAGTTTGAGGACCACTGCCTAGACCTAGGCAACATTTAATAGTTAATATGCATGTGTGTGAGTATGTGTATACACACATATGGAGAACTTTTCTAATTTTTTAATCTTTCTCTGTTGCATTTTACTAACATTTTCTCTTCTAGACTTCCATGTCCTTCCCTACCACTCTCTACCCCCATCCCCCAGTGAAAACTATTTTGATTAGACAAAGCTGTCATTCCCCCTCCTTCCCCTCCTCCTCCTCCTCCTTCCTCTTCTTCTTCTTCTTTGCAATAAATTATACACACATGTGTGCACATGTACAAAACACACACACACACACACGGATAAGTGCTTGTAACTAAAAAAAAACAGCTACTAGATGATCTTCTATAATTATCCATTTTTTTTCTGCTGCAAAACACCGAAAAATAATAAATAAGGAGACAGAAAGAATAAAAGGTTGGGTGCACAATCACTTCTATACCTAAGACCTTCCTTTTCTATTTAGAAATCTGTTATTCTAAGTTTATAAATGATATGGTTTGAGTATGTATCCATTTGTAACTAGCATTAGTATATAAACAAATTTGTGGACAGATTCATCAGAAACTTTATTGTGTCACTTTTGCTATCTGGTCCCCATATTTGGCTTTAAAACATCATATATGC